GCCGGAGTTCAGAGCCAAGGACCAGCGGCAGCACGGGGCCAGTGTTTGCCAAGCGATTACTGCAGCCGAGCACCTTGGAGGTCAGATTGTGAAACAGCCTTCGGTGGAGCCGGGCCTTCAGAGAGCCTTCCGGTCCTGCCCGGGTGGGGGGGCTACTTAACAGGGACGGAGTTGTGCAAGGACATTTACAGAGAGTGGGAAGGTGGTCCAGTGCCAGGGAGAAGGCGACTTAAGAGCATCTGCGGCCCTTTACCGTCCTCCTTCTCCCCTTAACTGTACCTCCAAGTAATCCAAGCCCTTTAGGGCCAAACGGGCCTCACTGGCAGGGCTTGTCCCAGATAGTTCCCTCTGGACATGTCCCTTTTCCTGGTCAGATAGGCGGAGTGGTGGATTATTTTTAGAAGACATCAATTTCTACTTGGAGACTGAGAGCCTCTCTTCTCCCTATTCCCAACTTAACACCCGAAATGCCCTCAGAAGTCCTCCCTGGCACTGACCCGGTTTCCAGAAGTGTTTGGAATAGCTGTTGAATTGAATTGCTCTACTGATTGGGCAGACCACGATGGAACAGAGTCTCCTTCCTCCTGCTGGGGCCCTAAAGATTTGCGAGGGCAACGGGGGAGGGTCTGGGAGGGTAGCAGGGCCCTCGGGGTGGGTATAAAGCGAGATCAAGCCTGATATGTGTCCCAGATGGTCTACAGTGGCACAGTCGTGATACAAACACTCTATACCTGTCAGTATGGAGCCCCGGGCCACTGCGGCTACCGCGTACTTATAGACAGCAAGTACGGCCAAGAGAGCCGATTCATTTCATTCTTACAAAGGAATTTAACTTAATTTAATTTAATCTTTCAAATTTTTAATTAAGTTAAATGGAAATGTAAATAGGCCCATGTGGCTAGTGACTAGCACAGTGAATGCACAGGTGTGAAGCCTCCATGCGTCCCAATGGGCAGGGAGAGGGGCCGTGCACGGGGGAGAGAAGGTTTGGGGCAGAGTACAGGGTCTTACCCCCCCCATGCCCTTGGAAGGATTTCAGGGGGGTATGAATGACTAAAAAGGTTAGAAAATTATATATGTACACGCATGCCTTTATCTGAGGAGAGAGTCTTTTGCTTTCATTAGAAGCACAAAAGCAGCCCTGATCTCAAAAATGAAAGACAGTAACTCCTTAATCTGTCAGATGCCGCTCACTTCTCCAGGGAAGCCCACTTTGATCCCCGAATATAGGGTTTTTCAGCCATACATCTACAGTACTTTTCTTTGTAGCATTTGAGATGTATAAAATTGTACGTACATCATTTTTAAGAAGACTTTATTTATTTATTTGTCAGAGAGAGAGAGAGAGAGAGAGCACACACGCAGGGGTGGGGCAGAGGGAGAGGGAGAAGCAGGCTCTGCCCTGAGCAAGGACCCGATGAGGGACTCAATCCCAGGACCCTGGGATCATGACCTGAGCTGAAGGCAGACACCTAACCAACTGAGCCACCCAGGTGCCATAGACAGATAGATAGATAGATAGATAGATACATAGATAGATAGATATAGATATAGATATAGACATAGACATAAAATTTTTTTTAACTAAAACTCATCTTATTTCACTAAGGGGTAAGTCCCATAAATTAAGCAGTAACCAGATCTGCTTCTGCTCATCAATAAATCCCCAGAGACTGACATAGAGCCTAGCACATAGAGGATAGGCACTTAGATTGGATAGACTGAGGGTGGGTGGGGGTGGATGGATGGACGGACAGATGGATGATGACTGATGGACAGAAGGAAGCAGGCATGCAAGCATAAATGAATAAACAAATTAACAGACAAATTAGGGATACCCTTTACCCCAATAACTGTAATTCTCAAAAAGCAACCAAAGACCTCCAAACTGACGTGGGGGCATGGGGGTGTACCACTCGAGGCTGCTGTCCCAATCAGAATCGTACAGGCATCCTTCTTGTTCCCCTGTCCCAAGAGGAATACTCTTTCCTTCCTCTCCATCCATAGCATGTTGCCTGGTGATCTATCTAATCTCCAGTGGACTTCATTGCTTAAAAGTCTACTTTCCCCACCAGACTTCTAGAAGGAAGGGACCTTGTCCTTCTGAACTAGTACTCCTCAGGCCGTCCCACTTCTGTCCTGCAGAAGCACGAATGTGTTGGAGGCCAGTGCACTCTGACCCTGAGCCAGCCTGGCTCACTGGTCTTTATATAACCACCCTCACCACTCACAGCCAGGGTAAGGTTGCCAGACTGAGGCAAATGGAAATATAGGACACACCATAAAATGTGAATTTCAGATAAACAATGAATCACATTTTTAGCCTAAATACATCCCCTTGTAATATTTGGGACACACTTATAGTAAAAAATCACCACCATCATTAGTAATCTGAAATTCATTGGACATCTCCTATTTTATCTGGTGACCCTACTCCAGGGCCTCAAAGGGAGCAGGTAGCCAGTAAGTAAGGAGTGTGGGTGGCATGGAGGAGGAGGGAAATGAGATAAATGACCAGCTCTGTAAAGTCCTAAGGCTTCAGATAAGTGCAGAACGTGCTACCAGCTTATCTGCGGGTTCTCTTCCCCAATACCATGAATGAACTAGCTCCCCCATGCTTCACCAGACAACTCATTCATGCCACGGGTCACATCAAAGATACACTATCTCTCCTCCAAGCACCAGTCCTTCCGCTCTCGCCTCCCCCGACCTGCCACCCACTCAGGGCCGGCTGTGCGGGCATGAGACTGTCCTTTCCCAAGGATCTTGCATAGATTTGCTCATGTAAACCTCACGACAACCCTCCTGGGTGGGTACTAATCAAATCTTCATTCCACAGATGGGAAAACAGAACCTAGAGAAGTCAAGGCCCATTTCCAGAGTTATACAGTGTGACAGAGCCAGTAACCAGTCCTAGGCAGTGTGTCCTCAGTGCCTAAGCTCTATGCTGCTTTCTCACACAGCCACTCAGAAAGGCCAGTTGCGAGGGCACCAGGGACCAGAGGCAGAGCAAGCAATGTCACTTGTTCTTCCTCTGTAGGAGCCGCCATATTAAAGTCAGCGACCCTGATAAACAAGAAAGGCTTTCCAAAGTGAACACCACCGAAAGTCCTCATGTCATGAGTTCTGTAAAATGGACTCACAAAGATGCTACACTTGGCTCAAAGGTGAAATTCCAAAGAACCATCCCAACCCCTTTCCAAACTGCCTCTACAGGTGGTGATGACCCATGTAGACAGGCCTGGCCATACTCGTGGTGAGAGCCAGCACATTGCACAGACGCTCTATGTTGTGTGTCTCAACACACAGGAAATAAACCCTCCAGGCAAGGAAGAAGTAGGGGGGAGCAGCATTCCTTTCTCGTGAGGTTCTGTAACTAGGGAGGGGGTGAGGGAACAGAACAGAAGAGGGGGAAGAAAAGCTCTGATTTGAGAGTTTCCGCTGGCTCGCAGACCCTCTCTGGCTCATCAATGAGTCCTTTCAGGGTTCCCTCTCCCCAACTAACTTATCATTTCCTGTCCAGCACACTATACCCATTGATGGGGTATCAGCAAATCCCACCAGTTTATACCAGAAGGACCCAAGAAGATCAGAAAGGAATGGGGGAGGTGAGGAGAGGAAGAGGCAGGAAGGTGAGGAGTGGCTTCCACCCGTATTGTTGGACTAAGACAGGGTTTACTGGAAGATAGGAAGCTGGCTCACCTTTGGCTCATCTCATAAGTAGAGTGATAAGGACGATGGAATAAAGTCAGGTACTTGGGGGAAAACACGTAGACCTGGCCTCTCCAAGATGACTCACTACCAAAAGCCTGCAAATGAAGGAGTGGACCTTGGTTGTGAGGACCAGGGGTGCGTTTCTCTTCTTTGTGTTTTTATTGGCTTACACCAGGCTTACAGCCCTAAGGAATAATCTAGAACCTCTCAGTTTTCCCTTCCTGGTATAGGAAGTGTTTCTGTCCAAGCACGGTGATTCTGCCTTGACGGGTGCCTAGAGCCCCTGCTGTCACCTCTGTGACCCTCTACCCTGGGCCACACTCATTGGTCCAGAGAGGGCACCTGACTCAAATCAGGCCAATCCAAGTCTTCCCTGGGATTCTTCAACTTGAAACTAGGAGAGTCCATCTCTCTGGTTTGGGGAATGAATAGATATGAAATTCAGGAGCTGCTGACAGCTGAGTTCCTCAGGAACCCGAGGACAGGGCCCAGAGAGAAGCAGAGAATAGACACAGACAGAAAGCAGCTGTGTTGTCAGCAGGTGTTCCTAGAGAGTCCACTGTCTCACTCTCCTCTTCACCCTCCGGTCAACTACACAACCATCGTTGGTATCTCCTTCCAACTAAGTCTCCCATTTGTCTGAGCCGCAGGAGTGTAAAGCTATCCCTTGTGACTCAAAAAGTCTACGCAAGTGAGCTGGCACCAAGGGAGGAGTCTGCAGGAGGAGCTGTGTGAACACGCCAGTGCACATTAGAGTCGCACACGCCATGCGCATGTACGAACAGGGAGAGAGAGAGAGCCTTCCTCGGCGAGACAGACATAGTGGTATGCCCAGTTTGTGTCTGCAGTTCAAGAAACTGCTTATTTTCTGTTTCTGTCTCTCCTGTGTGTTTGCTTTTCTTTGCCTGCAATGACGTGGTGGCTTTTGTCTCACCCTGGTTGTTTACAGTTACATGTCTGCTCATGCACACAGCACCCAAGGCCATCCTCCTGCCTCCCCACCCTGGTTTCCTACCCTCCAGGCAGAGGAGGGTGACAAAGCTTGACTGTTAAGACCATCATAGGAAGCCCACAAAGTCCGGTGGTTGCCTGTAATATTCCAGACTGAGCCAGGCCCAGCTAGACAGGTGAGGTTTCATTTGTCCCTCTGCTCTGACCGAGACACTGACCCCGAGAGCTCGGACAGGGGTTCTCCAGATGAGTGGGGACATAAGAGAGGCCAGTCCCCCAGAGACCCATGCCACTGCAGGGGAAACTGGGTACCATCTAAACTCAGACCAACTTACCTGCAGGTCAAAGAACTTGCTGTACCTCCGGTAGATGGTCTGGGACGTGGAGTCGGACCAGGTCACATTGATGATGTATACCTGTGGAGAAAAGGTAAGATCAAGTGAGTGGGTGGTGAAGGCCAGGCTTCAAGCTGTACCAGGCACCATGTACCATGACTGGGGTTACCCCATGACCGTGACCATTCCTACCTCCATCCCCAAAACCCGGCACAGTGTCAGGTATCACACAGATGTACATACATTTATTTAAACACAGACACACACACACACACACACACACACACAAACATCTAGAAGGATATTCAATAAACTACTAAGGATGATTATCTTAGATTAGTATTACAAGTGGTTTTCATTTCCTTCTTCTCTTTATATGTTTTTTATACAATGAACATACATTGGGGTTGTCAAAAATTCCCACTGGTTCTCCAACTCTTAAGTGAATGAGATTCTACAAGAGGTCTTCCCAAATTGCAGTGCTGGGGCCCACGCTCTGAAATTCTGCATAAGTAGATCTGGGGTTCCAGGGCTCAAGTATCTACATCTTATTTTGTTTTTTAAAGGATTTATTTTTTTTAAGATTTTATTTATTTATTTGAGAAAGAGAACACTAACAGGGGAGAGGAGCAGAGGAACAAGCAGACTTCTTACTGAGTAGGGAACCCAACGCAGGGCCCAATCCCAGGACCCCGAGATCATGACCTGAACCAAGGGCAGATGCTTAACTGACTGGGCCACCCAGGTGCCCCCTTAAAGGCTTTATTTTTATACAGCAGTTTTAGGTTCACAGCAAAACTGAGCAGAAATTACAGAGCGTTCCCGTACAACCCCGGCCTTCTCCCACCACTTGGGTGGTGCATTGTTAAAACGGGGCATCTATCCTTTTTAACAAACCACTTCTGCTGTAGTTGATCCTCAAACCCACTCTGAAAAGCACATCAGGTGACCATAAGCATTTCAGAGACGCGCGGATTCAGCCCAGTATCCCCACGTCTCAGCTCAGGGCTGGGCACAGGACAGAGTGGGCGTTCAGAAAACATTCTGTTGCACTGAACAATCGAACGGACACCCTGGACGAGAGGCACATTAGCAGGACAGATGTTAGCGCATGTCAGATTTGTAAACTTATCTAAAATGAAGGCATTTCCAAGACCCCATTCCCAGTGTCACCCCACTTCCTGGGGCTCAGGCTCTCCATGGCTGGTGCCTCAAGCCAGTCTGGCCCAGGAGGTGGGCAGGCCTGCTGGCTGAAGGAGAAAGTCCCCTGCCACACAATCTCTCTGGTGTTAAGGACAACACTGAGACACCATAGGACTCCTGCCTCGCTTCCTTCCTCCCAAGAGACAGAGTGGCTGTGTCCACAGCTCTGGTTCGCTCATCAGGGTGCCCATCAGCATCTCCTGGCAGGCTTCACAAAAACGCAGATTCCAGGTCCCTGCCTAGGGATTCTGACTCAGTAGGTCTGGGGGGACTCCACCTGTGAGAAGAAAATGGCCAGCGAAGCCAGGGCTCTCAGCCACCATGAGAAGGAAGGAATGTGAGCAAAGATCCCTTGGCCTCAGGGTAGCTGAAGTCCCCGGATGCCCAGAGCAGGGCTGTCTTAGTCTATCCCAGCTGCTGTAACAAACTACCATCGACTCGGTAGCTTAAACGACTGACATTTACTTCTCACAGCTATGGAGGCTGGAAGTCCAAGACCAAGGTTTCCGGTAAGACTGACTTCCTGACTTTCAGTTGGTCTCCCTGGTCCTGTGACCTTATGTGGTGGAGAGAGAGTGCTCTATTCTCTTCCTTGTCCTCTGAGGACACTCACCCCACCCCTGGGGCTCCCACCTCGTGGTGTCATCTAAACCTGATCACCTCCCAAAGGCCCGGCCTCAAACATCACACTGGGGACTAGGGCTCCAACATACGGATTTGGGGGGACACAAATGTGCAGGCCACAGCAAGGGTTTTGCACACAGGGGTATGGGGCTTTATGTCTGGCTATGCAGGTAACCTCTAAAGCAAACGAGCTCTGAGTCCTCCACCCCTCCTCCCCCACCTGAGCCCCCTCACAGAGTCACCTCGATCAGCGCAGTGTTCGCTGTGAACCGAAATCGAGGAGAGGGTCATAAAGCAAAGCAAAGAGTGAGGGTTGCCACCTGGACATGGGGTATTCACGACCTGTTTTATGTGACCCCAATAAGAAGGAAAGTAAAGTGGGAGGCCATCCCTATCTTCACAAGCCCAACATAAACCATTGACTATGATTATAATAGATAGGGGTGTGCTTTGCTTTAGATCATATATAAACGTCTATCTCACAGAATTAACGGTAGGAACCATTTAGGTAATGGCCACTTCAGTCCAGCACAGTGCAAAGCACTCAGAAGCATTAGCTCATTCCATCTACGATGTAGCTACCATTGTTACCTCCATCCATTCTGTACAGGAGGTAGCTGAGGTTCAGAGAAGTAAAATAACTTGCCTGAGGTCACAGAGCTAGTAAAATACAGAGCAAAGGACTTGAACCCAGGTCCAGCTGCGTGCAATGGCCATGCTCTGGACCATACAGGATATCTTTCTGCATGTAAATTTCAGAGTGTCAATATTTTAAGCAAACTATTTAATCAGAACTGAAAGACATCTTTCTTTTTTTTTTTTTAAGATTTTATTTATTTATTCGACAGAGAGAGATCACAAGTAGGCAGAGAAGCGGGCAGAGAGGCGGCGGGGGGGAAGCAGGCTCCCTGCCGAGCAGAGAGCCCGATGCGGGACTCGATCCCAGGACCCTGAGATCACGACCTGAGCCGAAGGCAGCGGCTCAACCCACTGAGCCACCCAGGCGCCCCGAAAGACATCTTTCTTAATAAATCTCTGGGTGGCCTGAAAAGTCTGTGTGCCCCTTACATAGGAGATAGACCTAGAGGAACATGGGGGGGTCATGTCAATTTTGAGAGAAAGAAGAGGCAGAACTCAGGGCCCAGATGGAAGTCAGTGGTTAGGAACGCTATAAAACCAGAGAAACACAGAGGAAACCCTCACGCACAACTGGCTTCATTGACTGTGGCCAGATGCTCTGGGGTTTTCACCGGGATTATAACCCATCCCATCCCCCCTGCTGACTCTTGGCTCCTTGACCCCCAAATCCTACTGGCTCCATCTCCCCTCCCACCGCATCTCCCCTTCCCACAGGTCCCAGGCAGGGAGCAGATGCTGTACATGGCCAGGTGCTGCCTTCCTGACCTCTGCCTGGGTGGACACACTATAAGGAGGCCCCAAGCGGCAGTGCCCTCCCAGGAGAGAGCCTGTGGGCCATTAGACAGCAGCCTTTCTCCCCGGCCAACCAAGCGGGGCCTGGAGAAAGGGCTTAACTGGGGCTTAACATGACCCATGCTCCTTCCTCTTCAGTAATTAGGGGCTTCCCTTCACCTCCCAGCGAGAATTAATTATAGGCTCACAGCCTCTGGCAGCTGGGAGGCCTCTCCATCTGCAGAGGAGGAAACTCAAGAGCCAGGATGGTGATTTGCCAAGGAAGAGGCAGACACTCTGGAGTCAGTCACACCTGGGTTTCCCTCTTAGGACCACCGCTATTGGCTATGAGACGTCAGCCCAGCCTCTCGGACCCTCAGTCTCCTCCTCTATTCAGTAGGCACAAGCTTGGGGTCCCCACTATGTTCGTTACCATAGCAGGTGTGCTCACCCCATTAGTGCCAGAGCTGGGACAGGAGCCCAGACCTCCCAATTCCCAGACTAGGACTCACCAGCACACAACCAGAGCACCCCCTCACGCCCTGCAGAAGTCCTTTCCCTTCACAGAGAACCATCTCTGCCTGACCCTTGACCTGAACCCATCCCAAAAGCAAGCCTCTGGAGAAAATCCAGAGGGCAGGGTGGTGGAAGTTGCCCCGTGAGCCCTGCGGGCCACAGCCACCAGGCTGCAACCCGGCCATGCTTCCCCTCAAAACACGTTTCTTTCCATTTTGGGCAAAGGCTTGCTCTCTGCTTCCCATGCTCTGAGTGAGCATGAGGGGACTCGGGTGCTGCGGTATGGAAAAAAATCCTCACCCAGGTACCCCCAAACCTTTAGGATTTACCAAAGGTCCCCCAGCCTCCCTCTTGGACTAACGGTCTAAATCCTGAGTTGAGGAAATGATCAGAGATCTCCCTGGAAACAGAAGCCCAGAAGTCTGGGCACAGTCTCCAGACCCCTTTCTTTCATCTAGGTAGCCTCTTGCAAGGGTTCATCTGCTTTCCTCCAAACCTTAAACCTCCTAGATTACTGTTCCAGGTGAGCAAGGCAAATGCAAAATTCCGGCCCAACCCACACAAACCCCAACGCACATTAGATTCTCAAGCCTCTCGGAGCCGGCCCTGCTGGCATGGGAAACCCTAGCGATAAACCCCTGAGAAAGAGCAGGTGGAGGGGAAGGGGGACAGGGCAGAGGTCATCCGAGACAGTCAGCTCTGTTTACCAGGCCTGCGTCAGGGACCCAGATAAATTCTCCTCTGGCTGCAGGAGCGGCCCAGATAACGTTACCCCACAGCTGGTTCTCAAGAAAGGTTTGCAACTGAACATCCTGCTTCCACACACTCTACTTGGGGTTGTTTCCCGGGTGGAGTTTCCCTTACTCTGGATTTTAAAAGCCCATGGATTCTATTTCCCCCATTTCTGGCCATTTCGGGCAGATGGTAGGCATCTAGGGGGCTCACTGATGACCAGCAATTGTGTCCGGTTCCTGTCGAAGAGGCGGCTCCAGAGTCTCACATCCACCTGCCCCGCTTATCCTCTACAGAGGAGGGTCCCCACCACAGACACAACCGGGGAAACTCTCAACAGACCCCCACCACGATGCCTTGGTCCGGCCAGCCCACCCGCTCTGGACCAACTTCCATCCGCTCAGCTCAACAAGCCCAAGAAATGTCTGAGGCTTCCAATCCTTCAACAAGTAAACAACAAACAACAACTCCAAAGGAGTAAACAACTCCTTTCAACAGGTAAACAGCCTTGATGCCAATCAGACCACGGCTTAACTCCAGAGCACTGAGAATGAAGCCCAGCCCAGTTCCTACGGAGGGACGTTCACGATAGGACC